TCTCTCTCTCTCTCTCTCTCTCTCTCTCTCTCTCTCTCTCTCTCTCTCTCTCTCTCTCTCTCTCTCTCTCTCTCTCTCTCTCTCTCTCTCTCTCTCTCTCTCTCTCTCTCTCTCTCTCTCTCTCTCTGTCTCTCTCTGTCTCTCTCTCTCGCTCTCTCTTTCTCTCTTTCTCTCTCTTTCTTTCTTCCCACGTTGGACTCCCCCGAGGAAGGATCGATCTGCCGCGCCGTTGCCGTCGCTGCAGCTTCGGCATGTCTGTTTTTTTCCCAAATCTTGTTGGTGTGTCGTTTCTGTGTCTGAGGTGCTGGCCTACAGACTGCATCCCCTGTGTGCCTGTGCTTCTGTGCGCGTGTTTTTCGCCTCTGCAGACTCCCGATTTGTCTCTTTTCCTCGCATTGCGCAGCTCGGAACCCGTAGAATGCAGTGTGGGCGTCCCTGCGCTTCACAGCTTCACCCATGCGCAGCTAGCCACCGAGGATCGGCTGTACACCCTCAGGCTCAAGACTGACCAGCTCAGCTTCTCACAGACTGCAGGTGCGTTGTATGTATGGGAGTTCAATTTTTTCGGAAGAGGAGGAACGGGGGATGCGAAGGGCGGAGGCAACGCACCATCACGTCTTGAGTGCCTAAAGGCCTCGTGCTGAGTAGCTGCTTTTCCCCTCAGTTTCGTCGAATTGGGGTGCAGAGAGTGGCAGACAGACAGGCAGTATACCGCTGAAGCAGAGAGTATGCGCGTAAAGTGGCCCTTTAGCCACGAGCTGGGAAGGCGTGTGGGTGGAATGCGGCGTTTATATGCCGGGGGGGAGATAGGAGAGGGAGAGAGGGGCAAAATAAATGTGAAGGGCTGTAGAGGAGGCCAATTGCCGATGAAGTACGTCGGACGCGTTTGATTGATGATGGTAGCAGCAGCAGAAGTCGCCATTGATCGAAACTCTCGCAGGAAAGGGAGCAGCATTCGTGTGATTTTGGTGTGTGGGGTGCTGGCCTTTGTAGGCTCTCTGTGCCGTGTGGTGTCTCTCGTACCGGAGTTTCTCCTGACGAACTGCCTCAGCTTTCCCTTGTACTTCAAACAGGATCAAACGCAATCGCCTGTCTTCGAGGGTGAGGCGACGACAGCCATGGGGGGCACCTCTTCGCGGCTGTCTATCCATAGGGTGGTGTCTGGCTGTGTGTCTGCATGTTTGTGTGTCTGTATGTCTCTCTCTCTTTGTGTGTCTGTATGTTTGTGTGTCTGTCTGTATGTTTGTGTGTCTGTATGTCTCTCTCTCTTTGTGTGTCTGTATTTTTGTGTGTTTGTATGTCTATCCGTTCTGTCTATATGTTCCTCTCTCCCTCTTTGTGTGCATGTCTTACTCTTTCTCCCTCTCGCTCTCTCTCTGCGGTGTCGACGGCTTCGCTACGGATTTTTTGCACTGTTCAGTCCGCTCGTGTCTGTCTTGTCTGCAGTTAAGCCGGGAGAAACTCGTGCAGTCTTTTGGCCAAGGGAGGATTTGCTGCAGCGTCTGCGGTTCAATGTGCGCCACGGGAAGGCTGGAGCCTGGTCGGGAGCAGTTGTTGCTAGCGAGGAGACGGCGGGAAGGACGTGGGTGGCTGTAAAGGCGAATAGCGAGGAGGATAAAGCCGTAGAACCGGGTAAGGGACGGCGAGGAGACACTTGGAGGCTGTACACAACGAACGCAGAGAGCAGCAGTCTGCTGGCAGAAAAAGGGGCTGGAATAGGAAATGGTGCTGCTGCATCTTCACATGCAGGGTGTGGGATTTTACAGTTCTTTTTGCGTTGTGTGGCCTTCCTTCCAAGGCATGCGCGTCTACCTGTCTCTTAATGCGCGTCTACCTGTCTCTTGATGCGCGTCTGTCTGTCTCTTAATGCGCGTCTGTCTGTCTCTGCTACCCCCGCCTTTAGCTTTTGCCGCGTTTTCATGCCGCTTTGGCGGCAGTCTTGCGTTAGATGAAATATGCCTTTTATCCGCATATGTGTGTGTTTCTCGATGCGCGAAAGCCTGTAAGGCCCTTGACTGACCGCGCGTGTAAGAATGTGCGTCTTTTTTGCGTCTTTTTGTGCCGCTTCTTCAGATGTCTACGCTGTGGATGTTGCTCCCGAGGGAGGCATCAAGAGCATAGCCATCCGCGGGAGAGACACGCCCGGAGGGTTCATCGTAAGGAACCGCTGCAGCGTGGTACAGCGAGTTATGGTGCATACCTTCCACACGGAAATGAATTACGGCAGCAGCAGCAACTACACCAGTCGAGAGTCTGTAAAGCCGCTTGAGGCAGACTGCCACTTCTTCGCCCATAAAGGAGAGGCAATCCGCTTCGGATGGTCTTACCCCTTCCTCCACAAGTCACGACCTGTGCGCCTTCAATCAGTCTTTTCCCCCAGAGGCCTTCCTAGCCAGCCTTCCAGCTCCCTCATTTGCACAAGACGTGCGAAGGAGAGGAGGCAAGGGAAGAGAAGGGCTGCATGCTATGCGAAAACTCTTGCGCCTTGCTGCATGCATGCGTTTGTGGGATCTCGAAATGATGCTGCGCTGCGCTTTTTCTCAGTGCCAGGTTCTCTTATGGCTAGACAGCAAAACTGTCGCCCCCCGAAGGCCTATCCAGTTTGATATGGCAAATCCTCAGTATAAGCGCTACGAAGTGAGTCTTGGACTCTCCGGTATGCCAGATATCGTTGTCACCTCCGAACAGCGAGGAGACGATACGATCATCACAGTGCAGTGCAAGGCAGGCACGGGCGCAGACACATCCAAGAACGACGACCTTCCCGTGGCGAAGTGCGATGCGGCGCAGCCTGCACTGACAGCTGACCTCGTGAGACACTCCCGACTGCTCAAGCAACTAGCCATTACTCCTGCTACAGCCTACATCTGCACTTCGCGCACCCACCTGGCCTCCTCCTCTCCCCACACTAGCCAAAGAAACTCCCCTGCCTTGCCTTCTCTATTTCCCTGTCTTATGTAAGTGTAGGTGTGTGTGTGTAAGTGTATGTATGTGTGTATGCAAGTGTAGGTGTGTGTGTATGTAAGTGTAGGTGTGTGTGTATGTAAGTGTATGTATGTGTATGTGTGTACGTATTTGCGTGTATGTATTTGCGTGTATGTGTATGTGTGTATGTGTATGTGTGTGTGCGTGTGTACTGCACTGGCGTACATCCTAGACGGCAGACACCCCGTACACGAGCTGGGATTTCGCTCTCAAGATTGAGGAGATTGGAGTGTCTCTGGTGTGCGACAGCTTGGCAGAAGAGCTGTGCTTCGCGGGCATGACTCAGGTGGCCCTTGGACTGCAGCAGAGAGGAGAAAGGCAGAAGGTAGTTTTGCGGATAGAGGCTATTCAAATAGACAATCAAATGGAAGAAGGCACAAAGCCAGTTGTGCTCGCAAACAGAGGCGGCCGGGGTGTAAATTCAGGAGAATGGAAAGTCACGGTAAGCGGAGAGGGCTTTTCACGAGCATCACAATTTCCACCTGCAGAACTCTCTATGCCCCGTGCCGACTCCCCCTTCTGTTTCAGTTTTTTACTCCACGAGGATGACATGCGCCTCAAACGATCTCTCAGATACGTTCATGAGGCATGCAAACACAGGCACAATGTGAAAAACGGCATTCATACCCCTTGAAAGGACGCGCATGCACTTGCCAACAGAGAGAGAGAAAGAGAGAAAAGTAGCAAATTTTTTGGGGGGGGGTTGCGGCAGCAGGGGGTGGAAGGAGCGCCATACAACACTTCTGCGAAGACGATAGGCTTTTCTATGTCTGCATGCAAAAGCAAATACATCTGTACGCGCAGAGGCAGGTGCACCCTATATATATATACATATCTGCAGGTGAATATAATCGCGTCGTGAAGGCTTCTAAACCGTTGTGCGTCTCTCTCATGCCCTCTGCTGCTGCGCAGGATCCTCAAGGCCTTCCACAAAGCCCTCAGCCCTTCCTCTCTTTGATACTCATCCGTGTGAATAGCAACAGCAGCAGGGATATCGTTTTGAAGCGCGTGATCCTCGAAGTCGACAACCTCGAAGTTGATATTGACGCCGATATGCTGAACGGCCTCAACGTACGGATGTCGAAACGCCAGCACGGCTGTATCTGCTCCCTTTATTGCGCTTTCCTCCGCTCGAAGTGTGCCTTATTCTGTGCTTGCCTTTTCGCGCGGGTTTAGCCACCGAGACAGCGCACTCAGGGCGTGGTAATAGGCCCTCCTGCCTCCCACATCAGCTGGCTCTTAGTGCAGCTTTGTGGAGTCTTAAAGGCCTCCAAGAGTGGTGGTGCCGCTGCAAGGGGTTTCATGCTCCTCCCCCTTCTCCTTTGCTTGCTACGCTTCTTCTGTGTAAATATTTATACGTATATATATATCTGCGTGCGTGTGCGTCTATATATATATGTGCGTGTGTGTACATATATATATATATATATGTCTGCGTGTGTGTACATATATATATATATATACATATGTGCGTGTGTGTGTGTGTATATATATATATATATGTGCATGTGTGTACATATAATATATATATGTATGGATGAATGACGCACAACTGACGTGATGTTGGACATGCTGTTGCTGGTGCTGCATGCGGCTGCAGGATTTTTTCTGGTCATGTCTTATTGCCTTTGGTCTGGCAGACGCTGCCTCAAGGCGAGCGGTGTCTTTAGAAGAATTGGCTAGCTGGGGCAAGCAGCCCGTACAGGAAACGTACAGCCCACCACCACTTCCGACAATTCTCTCCTTGGAGTCTCTCGTGATCTCTCGTTTTAAGGTCTATTGCTGGTGCTCCTTTGTCCTCGATAAAATGCACATGATCTCCGATATGCTCAAGTTTGGACTCAGAATCCTCATGGCTTCCGGAAGGCTCGAACTTACCGTAATGCTCACACGACTGCTGAGCTGCCGTTGCTGCCTTCCCTCGCAGTAGCCATGAAGGATCGCGCCTCATGCAGTACCGCAACTCGCAGTGTCCCTCCTCCTATTCCTTCTTTTCATACTGGGAAGGACCTTCTCCTTTCACACATTGTAACACGCCTTTCTTGCTCGTGGTATCTATGTTCCATATGTATCTATGTCCAATATGTATCCATGTATATAATATATATCTTTATGTGCAATACGTATCCTTGTATATTACATATATATCTTAATGTACAATATGTATCCATGTGTATAATATATATCTTTATGTACAATATGTATCCATGTGTATAATATATATCTTTATGTACAATACGTATCCATGCATATTACATATATATATCTTTATGTACAATATGTATCCATGTATATAATATATATCTTTATGTACAATATGTATCCATGTATATAATGTATATCTTTATGTACAATATGTATCCATGTATGTAATATATATCTTGATTTGCATGTCTGTATCTCCCTCTCTGTCTGTGTGTGAATGTGCATGGATGTTTTTGACTACAGGGCGCACGCTTGACGTTTAGCCAGGAGGAGTTCCGATACTTGCGTGGTACTGTGGCCTCATTTATGTCGTGTCTCCAGGAGCGTTACACGTATCACCTGCTTTCCTCTTTATTTTCGTCCCTTGGGCAGTCGTCGCTGCTTAATTTGCCCCGCATGCCTTATGAGTTTGGCAGGAATACCATCGGGCTAGCCGCGAATGCGGTAGACAGCGTCTCGGCTGGCTTGGGGTCTCTGCTTTCCACCTTTACCTTTGACGCCGAATACATCAACAAGCGGCAGAAGGAGCGAGGCAGGAGCGCTTCGGGAGTTCGAGAAGGCTTTCTCTCCGCCGGTAAAAACATCGGGGAGGGTGTGTGGGCTCTCTCCAGTATCGTGACAAAGCCGATTGAAGGCGCACAGAAAGAGGGCGTTGGAGGATTCTTAAAGGGCATTGGTAAAGGCCTGGTGGGGTCTTTGGTGAAGCCTTTGGATAGAGTGGGACAGGCCGTCTCAGACGTGACTCGCGGCATTCACGCCGAAGTGAGCAAGCCCATTGGCGCTCTCAAGCTCATCAATCGAAGACGCAGGAGACCCCGCATGCTCGGCGAGCAGGGCGAAGTCAGGTGAGGGGCAATCTCAGGAGGCAGCATGTGCATGCTAGTTGCGTTCTCTGAAAAGCCTGCTGCGTTCTTTTGCTTCTGGACTCTTTCGAGAGGATCCCTCAGCGTGCTGCTGCTGCAGCAGCAGCGGCGCCTTGACCACGGGTAGATCTGAAGGCTTTAGACCCTCTTGCGCTCGTCTACGCAGTGCAGGTTGCCCCTTCCGCGCGGCGCGCATGCAACGGGTTGTGTCCGGGTGCTCGTCAGTAGGCTTAAAGGCCACGATTTATTTCTTTCTGGAGTCTCCTTGAACGTTGTTGCTGCGGCTGCTGCAGGCCCTACGACGAGACAGAAGCGCAGCTGCGGCAGAGTCTGGGCTTGGCAGCTGTGCGTCCGATGCAAAAATGCATCACCGTTATGAAGCAGGAAGGTCCAGAGTTGCGCCAGTTTGCCGTCCTCTTCTACCCCCAAGAAATTTTCTTCGTGAATCTGCAGATGGGGGCACCGTCCGCTGGTCGTACAGGCGGGGGGGCGCCCGGCAGTTCTAAGGGCCAGGTGAACATCCTCTGGCACGTTAGCGTCTCATCTATCAAAGAGGTTAGAGCAGGGTCGCTAGGAGTTACGATATATACCTCTAAAACGTCTGCCCCAGCACAAGGCGCTCAGGAGGCCCTCGTAAAGGCCTTCTCTGCGGATAGACTGCTGAGAGCCACCCAGTACAGCCAGATTTCGAGAGCTGCAGGGAGAATGAGGGGCTCAGAGGAGTCTGGCACATACCACATACCGTGCTCCACCCCCGCACTGGTTACTGAGGTGTACAGGGAGCTCCTCGAAACACAGAGAAGCAACGCCTCCGTCGTGGAACTGGGGATCCACACTCGCAGATCTGCCCTGCCCCTCTAGAAAAAAGCGTTTCCCAGTTGTAGTGTGCATTTTCCAACGATTCATGACACCTATGCGGCAGGACCAGACGACCCCCTGCAGGAGCAACGGCAATCACCTGCTGTCTTGGAATATGGGGTAAACATTACGGAGGGAATGTTTCAAACGCCTCCGGGGGCGCTCTCCAATCCTATGTCGAGTCGCTTTCTTTTCAATCGCTGCACCTTATTGTTACCATGGACGCTGGAGTCCTTTGTTAGAAAGTCAGAGTTCTCTTCGGGAGAAAGCAAAAAGTGAGGAGTGCTCCACGATCCTGGAAAACTTGAGTGCGCTTTAGAAGTCGATTCTGAAGTAGGGGGCGTCAGCCCATTTCTAGAAAGCCGCAATGAACTTGCATGCCAGCCATCGGTTCTGATCGCTGGCAGTCGCTAGAGGTTTTGACGTTGGGATGATCTCGCGGGGTGCAGCCGAGTACTGAAGTGTGCACATGAAGCGCCTTGGTGGTAGTCTCAAGCCAGTGCGCTGCGCCGATTCTTCATGAAACACGTAGCCTCCCCTCAGTTGTTACTGGCCACCCCTAAATCCCCAGCCCAAACACGCATTCCCAGCAGCCAGCTACAACTTGTTCTCGCCCTTGCATGCACTAGGTTCGAGCTGTAACAGTCCACATAGGGCTTCTGAAGAAGAACACTCAACGTCTTGCGCAATGGGAACTTCGCAGAAAGTTCGCTAGTGCTTTGAAAAGAGAGCTCCCTCCTTCCTCAAACTGCACTTCTCACAGTCCGGACATGAGGGACGAGGAAAAACTAGGTGCGCGTTGCTGGACCGATAATTCCTCAGCACGCTCAGCGAGTTGCACATAGCATCCAACACAAAAGTGCTGAACACTGCGGGTGCGTCTGTTTGTGTTGAACTGACGTCCCCCTGCTTTTAATTGAATTTTCGAACAGACAAAGCAAACAGCCAATTGATCGCTAGTTCTTCACTGAATATTACCAGTGTAGTAAAAAATTCCGCAGGAGAGCAAAGTGGGCTAACCTACATTCAAAGTAGCCGTATTTACCTCAAAATCAGTGAAGAATCGACTAGTAGATTTGTGTATCCGTATATCTTACTTAGTGACAAGTGTTGATATTACTCGATACAATCAGACGCAACAATGTGTGCGTGTGTGCTAGATGCGATGTGAATCTAGCTAAGAATGCTCGGGATGCTTCGAGAGTACATCTACCCACACCCTGCTGCCCCTCTCTTTCATGTCGGAGCTTTAAGAGTCAACTGCAGAAGAAGGCTGAAATGCCTATTTGAAACACTTGACAACTTCCTACTTTTGTTCGTCTCGACTGGGGAGTGACCTGTTTCCCGCACGGACACAGTGGCGGGTTACATGTAGATTAGCCCTTTACACAAGACGGCCCACCAAGGTCTCCTACGTAGAAGCCTTCTACCAGAGGCTAGTACAGGATGACTGAGACTTAGCACAACTAGGAACAACACCGAATAGGTAAAAAAATCACTCGGTCCGCCGCAGCTATCTGCACCCAGGTGACCAAACACTTCACCAGCAACTAGGGCAATGTGTTTAGTGGCCGTTATCGAGAGTCACAAGGCCGCAGAGGCAGCATCACTAGTTAAATAGAGCAGCAGCACTCCCAGCTTCTCTACCAAGCCTTTCATATGCCTAGACACGAAGGAGCCCTGGAACAACGTTTGCCTCCCTAGGAGCAGAACGGTTGCATATGACTAACCACAACGTCTCTCTAGTCGAATGCTTATGCCATGCGTCTCAACAATGTAGTTTGCTCGAACACACAAGCACTGCATGTCTTGCAGGAAACGAGCAACTTGGCACAGAAGGGGCCCGGTGCATTCGAGCACTGATGGACGGAGCGTCTTAGAGGCAAAGAAGAAATGGAGAGTGCTGGCAAGTCTTTCATTGATGTTTCCTCTCATTTTCTTCCGCTTGTGAAATTCAGCAGACTCAGCTTACTGATCACCAGGGGGCGTCTGTACACCTGGAGACCCACGAGAGCACCCTGCTTCAATGCGTTGTTAAGCCCTAGGGGAAGTTACTAATTACATAAAAATTGAGAAGCGAAGAAGACAGATCACAAAGAAAGAACCCTGCGCTGCAAAGGCGCCAGTGGTATAAGCAGCAGCTCCCCCCGGGTCGGCACCAGTCCCGACGCTTGCGGTGCAGCAGCTGCTACTGCCGAATTGCTGAAGGAGGAAATGGCATGTGCGCGAAAATCTTGTACATGAACTTCTGTCCGCTTGGTATCGGCTCCCGAGCTTAGTGGACCTCTGTTCCTTTTGTGTTGCTCCCCTCGTCTGTAACCCACAGGGGCGGCTGCCACTGTAGAAGGGCCTGCTCCTCAACTCCCATTGAAAATTCCCTAGGGACCCTCCGTTCTCCTCAGACCCTGTCCCTCTTTGTGCTGCATCAGACACAGTGCAGCTGCCTGCGTTTTTCTTCCCGAACCACCAACCGACTAACCGACTCCGTAAGCGAGCAAGTGAAAGCAACAGCTAATTCTATTGGCAGCGCTCATTGCAGCGTGTCCAATCCCACCAGGAAGCTGTCCTTCAAGCGTATTCACAAGGATTCACGATGGTGAGCCAAACGGGAAGGCCTTTGGGGACCCATGAATAGATTCTCGCGGAACCTCCTGCCCCTCCTCCCGTTTTCTTGTCTTCACTCCCGAGACTGTGGACGCCGCATGTAGAGGGGGCATGAGTGGGGCCGCATCATCGCCACTATGAGTACTGGGAGTGTCGCCTGCGCTGCAATCGCTAGGGGATGCTCTTCCTTGCGACTGTCTCGTGGTGGCATTGTAAAGATCGCGTTCATGCGCTATCAATACTCACACCTTAATTCCCTGTCGCCCTTGCAGGCTCACGCGATACTTCTGTAGCTGCTGTCGCTGGCTTGTCTTTTCGCCTGCAGGATGAGTACAACGGGAGCGCTGTCGTGGCCATGGCCGGTCACCAGTGTGTGGGAATCGCGGCGGATCGGCGTTTAGGGATTAATCGCTTTAATACAATCTCCAACGAGTTCGACAAGTGCTTCAAGATGAACCAGCAGTGCTTCGTTGCGTTTCCAGGCCTGGCAACGGACGTGCAGACTATGTGGGTTTTTTGGCCTCTTTGAGGGTTCACGTTTTTAGACGCAGAGGAAGCGAGTGACATTGAGAAAAGTCCATACGAAGCAAAAGCATAGCTCCACAAGGCACATGTAGATATGCAGGTGGCTCCAGAAAGTCCATTCAGTATCCTTCTTTACGATTCCCTACAGTCCCTTCCCTCCTCTCGCCGCTACAAAGGTCTAGGGCAACTTCTCTGCATGCGCCTCGCGGTGCTAATTGGCTCTCTAGGGGCGTCTCTCTACGTGTGCTGCCTCCGTCTCTTTGAAGCGTTTAATTCGATGCCCTTTGAGGCAGGGGTTCGCGTGCTTGCACCTGCATGCATGTATCTTTTAGCTGGCCTCAAGCCACCAGCTCTGCTCACGCCTCCCGTACTGCTCGCACAGCTGTCCTTCGTGTGATCTCTGTTGAGTCTGCAACACTTTTCCCGCATGCAAGCCTGCCCAAGTTTAGAGCCAGGCAGTGCGGGAGTTTTGAAAGTCGAATGTCTCCTGGGGTTTACAGTACGGTTGTGCGTCTTTTTGAAGGCACAAAGAACTGCAGTTCCGCTGCAACTTGTTTGCTCTGCGCGAAGACATCACGACTATGCCGCCTTCTCTCATTTCCTCCTTGATCTCATCGATGCTCTATCAGAGGCGGTTCGCGCCTTTCTTCGTCTCGCCCGTGGTGGCTGGACTCGATCCTAAGACTCACGCGCCTTTCCTCTCGGGCTTTGACTGTATTGGAGCCTCTTGCCACGCCAAAGACTTCATAGCTAATGGAACTGCCAAGGAGCAACTTGCCGGCATTTGTGAAGCCATGTGGAGACCTAACATGGTACGAAATACAGCAAAAGAAAAGCCGCTGTTTGCCTACACTGCTTTCCCCTTATGAGTTCCCCCTACCTCGACTCAAATCGCGTTCCTCATTCACCACACCCTTCCGATAAGGAAAATATATATATATATACATTTATATGCCTATTTTTTCGTGGCTCTTTTGAGTCTTTATCTGTGAAGGGTGGCTTTTGTCGTCTCTGTCCTGTGCTTTCTACTTTGGAGGGCTGGCTGTTGTGCGTGTCTTCTTCTCCTTTGGTCTCCTCGGGAGTCAAGCGCCTCTCTCTCTGTCTGCACCTCTGGGCCTTTCGGTGGTCTTTATGGCCATGCAGTCTTTCCCCCTTCCTCGCTGCTGCTCTTCGTGACGACTGCCTTCACTTCCCTTGTTGGGCGCTCGCCTAGCATGCGCGAGGCGGAGGCCGATTCTCTCGTCATTCATGCTGCTTCAGACCATTCATTCGTGCATTCAAGCCTAGGAGAAGCCGATACTTATACCGCAGCACATCCGGGCCTCCTATTTCTCCCTGCCTTCGCGTGTCTGCGTGCATGCGTGTGGTGGATAAGCTGCTGCGCGTCTGCCTTGAGCGTTGACACAGGGCGAGGAGGAACTCATGGAAACTCTTTCTCAGTGTCTCCTCGCGGGTGTGGATAGAGACTGCGTCTCAGGGTGGGGAGGCATTGTCCATGTAGTGTAAGTTTTCTTTAGGGCTATAGTGCTTTTTCTCGCAATTCAACAGCGCGAGTCGTCATGTTCGACCCCCCCCGTCCCCACCCACCCTCGCGCTAACAAGTTGTTTTCTCCACGCAATTCCCTTGCCTGCTGCCAGTCAGTCAAAGTGCTCACGGGTATGGGTATCTGTCCAGATGGTGGTACTCATGAGCCGTGGTGTGTTTTCCGTGTCATGCTGTTACAGGACTCCAGAGAAGATCATTACGCGCCATCTAAAGGGGCGGATGGACTAACATTTACCTGTGCCATGCGCATCTGTCAGTTCTGTGATTCTCATGCATGTGCGCGCGTGGGCTTGCCATGCTGTTTTCCCTGTGCTGCTGTTGCGCCGGATTCCAGTGTACAAACGCCGCAATTGCCCCATCTACCAGGCAGTGGTGCTGGGGAGTCGCTTCTTCCAGCGATTGCTGCACTAAAAGCCGTGTAGGGACAGCTGGGGTGGTATCGCCAGCAGCACAGAGAGCCTGCTGGTTTTGCGTTGGAGCTGCCTTGGCGACGATCCTATATAAAAAAATGCCCTTATTTGTGCATGTTCGCACACCGAGGCTTGCTTGCGTGCGCGCAAAAAGCCATAGGGCAGTTTTCTTTGAAACGTTGCGGGTCGGCTCGGGCAGCTGAAAAGAGCAGCCGTTTCTGCACTGGCAGAAAGGGCGCAGCAAGCGCAGCACGAGACGAAGAAGGAGGGACGATGCGCTTAGAACAGAGATACTCACTCCTAGTTGATCGTTTGCGCTGGGCAGCAGAACGGATAATGTAGCTGAGAGCACAGTCCCCGGAAGGAGGCCGAGGCAAGGCATGGGGGAGTGGTGCAGCCATTCCCCGGAGATGGCAGCAGCTGCAGTATGTGTGCTACTGTTTGTGTCGTCCATATCCTTAGGTTAATTTTGGACCTTAAATGGGGTGGTGGCCATATGCCCGAGTTTTAGGGGGCGCAGGCGATAGCAAAGCTAGCGATCTACGGAGCTCCTGCAAGCGCACTTCCCGCTGTCAAGCGCTTTGCGGGCTGATTGTGAAGCAGGATCTGTACAGCTAACTGGAAAGCATTCGCGCGCTAAAGGGCAGACAGGATCGTGAAGAGGGAAGCGGGGGTACAAGAGGGATCTGATGTGGCCACCTCGTGCCTCATTGTACGGGAGGGCCTTCTAAGCAAGACGCATACTGTCCCTTAAAGTGTTCGGGATGCGTCGATAGTGAAGAGATGTAGACATTCAAAGGGCCTTCTAACAGGGGACGGGAGGGGGTATAGGCGGTATGTATCTGTGCGGCGAGGCTGCGAGTTGTCTGATCGGTGCGAGCCTGCGTAGAAGATGCCTGGAGACTCGTGGAGGCATCTCTACGCCTCAATAGCTGCCGTCAAAAACGAAGTGTGAGCTGCTCTTCGCGCGCGCGGCAGCTGCAGACACCGGGCTGTTCGACTGCCTGCCTCCCACTCGAGCGAGACCTCCCTGTGCCTTGGAAAGAAGCCGCCTATCAGCTCGTTGGCAAGGAGGCCGCTAGGCTTCGAAAGAAAGCAGGGAGCTCTCCTTTCTTCTAAGTGTGTGGGGGGCTGCTGGACGTCTGCGCAGAGGGGGTTTGGTTCACTGCCAGACACTCGCACACTGCCCTTTCTCTTGCAAAGTGAGTCCATTGCTTTATCTATAAGCTGGCTGTCGAGACACCGGAAGCGGCTTTCGCGAGCGCACCAACCGCTGCGTGGGCAATTGTCATTGCTGGACAGCACGCGGTCAAGTCTGCACAGACACCGCATGAACAGATGCCGCGAGAACCCCACGCTTGTCATCATAGCTTTTCTTCGGCGCTAAATTAATCCTTTTCTGGCCATAAACAAAGCGGCTTCGCACCGCTTCACGCTGAACTCCTCGCACACGCACGCGGAGGGCATATGAGCCTTCCCTCCACGGGCGCCACAGGGGCCCTATGCTCGGCACTCCCCAACGTCGGCAGCGGTTAGTGCAGTGGCAGGAACAGCTGAAACAAAGCAAATTGGAGCATTATCTGCAGTATCACCTGCAGCAACACCTTCAGCAACAATACCTGCAGCAACACCTGCAACAACAGCTGCAGCAACAGCTGCAGCAACGTCTGCAGCAACAACTGGGGGATACGCAGCTGCGTGTGCAGCAGTGTTTGTACCAGGATCTCCTTCTTTCAGCAGACATGCGATCACGCTCCGACTTTATCGTCTAAGCCCCCGTGGCGTGAGACGTGCAACAGCACTCTCGTGGCTGCACCCTGTTGCGTTTGCGGCTGCCACTCCCGCCTACACACAAGCCTCCTCACCCATCTCTAGACGTCAAACGAGCGGCTCGAGAGATGTCTTTTTGCGCATACGGGGACCCTCATCGCTCGCTGCTCTTGCAGCATAGATCATTGCGGCAATAAAGACACCGCCAGCAACAGCAGCACCGGCAGCGCGCGAGCTTCTCTTGCTGTCATTCGGCCTGCCCCTTAGCCGCTCGCACATCTGCGATTCCTGCGATTTTGGTCAGGCGCATGCCCCCTTGCTGAGCAAGCACCTCCGAAGCGTCCCCCATATTGGCACCAACAACAACACCAACAACAACTGCAGCACCAACGACTGCAGCACCAACAACACCAGCAGCAACTGCAGCAGCAGCAGCAGCAGCGATACGCGATCTCGTCTTGTGGCTTCATCGTCAAGCAACATGAACCATGTGCGTCGCTCTCATATCTCCCCCTGAAGCTCTCACATAGCCGCTGTATATTGAATTGCTACCGTAGATGTGCAGTCTGTACTCGCCACGCTTTTCTTCAACACGTCGTGTTCTCATGATCCTTGCTTGCACCGACAGCTTCCTGGTGTGTAACGTGCATGGCTTTCTACAAATCTGCAAGGGACCAGCAGGCGGAAAAAGGTCGTGTGCGGCACCGATTGCTGTCTCAATTTGCGAGTTTATAACGCATATATATATATATATATATATATATGTACTTTTACATATACACCTATATATATATGTATATATATATATGTATCTATATATATATCTGTGTATATATATGTATGTATCTATATATATGTATGTATCTGTGTATACATATATCTATATGTCTACCTGCTTGAAGAGAGCGTTAAACTTTAATCTGACGGTGTTGTTGCTGCTGCAGTTGCTGCTCCTTGCTGTTGGGTGTGCTTCTTTGCCTCAGGAACGTCCTAGCCTCTCGTCTCTCATCTTAAGCCTTCGACAGCTGCTGACTCCCCGAGAAGCAGGCGATGTTTCCTTCGATCAGGGGGGGAGTTCAAGTCCTTCTGATCTGTTGCAGCAGCATCAGCTGCAGCAGTTGCAGCAGCGGGTCGAACGGCAGGCTTTCAAGCCGCCTCCTAGTCTCTCGCGAAAGTCTCAGCAGCAGCTTTACACGCAGCCTCCAACGCACAGAGCGCAACCATGGCAGCCTCCAACGCACAGAGCACAGCCATGGCAGCCTCCAACGCACAGAGCACAACCATGGCAGCCTCCCCAGACCCCGCACGGCTCTTATGGAAAGCAGCTCGATGTATTGCAGCATCTTAAGGCTTCCCGCATGCAATCTTTGTCCGAGTTGGAGGTTCACTTGCGGCGATGTCTACAGGGCAGGAATAGCGTGCAGAGCAAAGCGTGCGTGGGGCAGCAACTGCAGCAGCCACACGTGGGAGGCAGCACCGAAGTGCATCAGCATGGCGAGCTCTCCCTAGACTGGGGGACGGCTTGTAAGGCTGCATGCAAGCCTCCCCTGCAGGCGCTGCTCCGCGATAGTCCGCGAGGCTCTCCTTTGCCAAGTGCGCTATCCGGGAAGCAGCAGACGTCTCACGAGCAGCGCCGTTTGCAGCCTCCTCTCGTGCTTCCTTCTCCGCCGCAAGGGGGGAAGCCTTTCGAGCAGCAGCCGCTTACCCTGCATGCCAAGATTGAGCGCCTGGTGAAGAATCGAATTCTGCAGCAAATGGTGAGGCCCTCCTCATCTCCGGACTGCAACTCCATTACTTCACGCTTCCGCCTGAGGAATCACATCACAATGACGGAAGACTTCCAGAGGGTTGGCTCGTACCAGCGGGCGATCCGAATTCGCTGTGGCAATGCTGGGAGAGCACAAGGCACTCAAGGGCCTCTCGTGATCGAGATCGGAACTGGACCGTTCGCACTGCTCTCCGTCAATGCGGCTAGAGAGGGTGCACGGAGAGTTGTGGCGTTCGAAGCAGAGAGAAGGAGCAGCAACAGTGCCGCTGCGTTCGTTAAAGCCCTCGGATATGCGCAGCAAATTAAGGTTATTAGGGCCTACAGCACAGATCTCACTCCAGAGCACTTCAGTAGGATCCTCAAGCAGCAGGATGAGGAGCCGCGTCAACGAGGGGACGACGGTAGCAACAATAGCAGCAACAGCAGTAGCAGCAATAGCAGCAGTGGCAGTCGTGGAAAGAAAGGCACGGGCAGCAGCGGCAGCGAGACGGCAGCAGCGGGGACAGGAGCCGCGGCAGCATCCTGCGAGGAGGACGGATCTGATGTGCTGCTGCTTCATGAAATTATCGGCGACTTTGCGGGGAACGAGGGGGCTGCCGACGTCGTGTTGCATCTGCAGCAGATGCTGACGCTGCTGCAACTGGAGCAGGGAGTATGCACACCGCGACTGCCAAAATCCGTCCCTGTGGCAGCGCGCAGCTTCCTCAGGCCTTGCTGCTTCCCCGACGCGTCTGAGCTGCCCTTCCCTCACCACACCTTTTGCCAGCGGAGCAGGGTGTCTCCCGGAAGGAAACTGCTGCAGGCAGTGGGTTTGCTGCAGCAGCCGCTGCTTTTGGCTTGTTCAGCCTTGGCAGTCTTCGTGCTGCAGGGGCTTACCGCAGATCCCGCCGCGCGGCAGCTGCAGGCGCAGTTTCAGCAGCAGCAGCATCGGCGGCAGATATCGACTGGGGAAGGCGGAGTTGAGGAGGCTGCTGTAGCTGCCGCAGTCGCAGAGGCTGCTGTGGCTGCAGCGGTGCCTTCGGGGAATGACGGGGGCAGCTTTGGGGAGGCCTCTGAGGGGGGGAGCGCTGGAGGAGGGGGGCAAATTCCAGGAACGGCTGGAGGCGGCGTAAGGCCAGTGTTTGAGGAGCTGCTTTTCGAGGAGGCTATGGAAGAGCAGCAGCAGCAGCGGCGTCTGCTAGACTTCGCAGTAGAAAAAGACGGCCTTTTGGCTGGTCTCTGCATAACCAATGAAGTGGAGCTTGCGCCGGTGCGACGGGTAGAATCCACGGGAACCTTAGTACATGGGATGGAGGACTGAGGCACGCTTCTTCGTTTGTGGGTGCATGTCTGGCTAGCAGCTGTGTCATATAGCTCTTGCTTGTTCTTGCCTTGAACTTCCTGCTACTCCTTGCTTGTGCCGCGTCCGCTAGATGCCGATCTTGCCTGCTGCTCCTGTCTGGAGGAGCCTCCACGGATCTTCCTGTTGCGCCTGTGAGGCAACGCACGCGCAGATTCAGCTGTTCTCTGTATATGTGTATGTTTGCGTGTGTGTGATGCAGGGTGTGTGTGTGGGAACTGAGAGCTGCCGCAGCAGCTACACAGAGGACACCCGAGCAGCGCAGTCGGTCAGCGGAACCTCATGCTGGTTTAAAGGCCTTGTGCTGCTGCAGCAGGAGATCCCTGTGTTAAAAGGAGACATTATACGTGTCATCTCGTTTGCCGATCTTCAAAACTTTGTACGTGTGGCAGGCTCGCTGCAGCAGCGCTCCCAGCAGCAGCTCACGTTTTGAGGGAGCTGGCAGATGTGGTCACAGCAAGAGCGAGGCATCCCTGGAGGCTGCCGCAGCTGCACCCTTGCTCGTGTTTTGTTGAGTCTGGCGCTGCTTGCTGCAGCATGGTATTTGCAGCAACGGCAGCGCTTAGGTGGCTGCTCCTTTTTCCAGAAGGCAGCGACAGCAGCAGAGGGAGGGAGGGCGAGGCAGCGACAGCAGCAGAGGGAGGGCAGGCATTTTGCTGGTCTGTAAGGGCAGCGTTTCTGCAGCTTCTTGTGTTAGCAGTGTTATTGCTGCTGTCGTTGCTGCTGGTGTGTGTATTCGCAGAGGCCTCCGGATGAAAAAGCGAGTCGCAAAGCGGCACGCTACGTGCAAGGTCGAAGTCAGAGCAGAAGCCTCTCAGCTTCCCTCGGAGCGACTTCCAGCGGCCATGATACCCATGGTCGTGTCTTCAAAGGAGAGCTCGCGAGTGACACGACGGCGTCTCCAGCGGCTAATTCTACGAGCAGCAGCAGCTCCTCTGAGCAGCCTTCCGCAGAGAGTCTTAATGAGTGCTCGACAGCCAATAGCGCGAGCGTCTCGGAAATAGTCAACGAACCGATCAAGGAGACCCTCAAAGAGGAGGGGCGGCGGCAAAGCACGCGGGAGAGCGCTTGCCAATCGTTTAACGCATGCGAGGCTCCTCAGGGAGCTTTAAGCACTCTGAAAGCGTGTCCTCGGATTTCTGTCGGGGGCACGTACAGTGGTAAGAGCAGCAGCAGCAGCAGCAGCAGCAGCAGCAGCAGGAGCAGCAGCAGGGGCCTCTCCGTTCCGGCACTGAGAAGGAGCACGCGCTGTGAGAAGAAGGCGCAAAGTGCGGCTCAGAAAGCGAAAAAAGGGCGAGAGACTCATCAGGCTGGCCGCATGACAGGCGCTCTGAAGAATCATGGGAGTGTCTGCACCATTCGCAGCAGCAGCAGCAACAGCAGCAGCAGCAGCAGCAGCAGTAGGCGCTTCCTCCCTGCAAGAGGGGCGCAGAAAACGGGACGTTTTCAACGGCAGCTACGAATCAGCAGCAGCCGTAAGGCGCGAGGCAACAGCAGCGTCGGTGGCTGCAGCAGCAGCAGCAACAGCGGGCACATTGCGAAAAAGCTTCGTAGCAGTCTCTGTGCAAAAGTAACAGGTGCTACTGCCGCTGTTGCAGGCTTTGAGAAGGGAAAGAGGGTTCTTGCGCCCGTAGGCGATGGCGCAAAGTCGAAGCAGCGCCGAATTGAGGCTTCGAAAAAAAAAGAGGCACTCAAGGCCAGTCCGGTGCTCCCCCGCGATTCGCGCGAGGCTCGACGATCCGATGAGGGGCGCTGTGAGCTGCCAGAGCAGCTGGGAAAAGCCGCCACTGGGGAAGGCGAGCAGCCACACGAGCAGGAGCGTGTCTCTAGAATTAGGGCCTTAAAAGAAAAGTTGCAACAGCAGTCTCGGTACTCGCGCCCTCGCTATTTGTTCAGCGTTAGGGTGTACAGGGGCTCAGTGATACTGGGAGAGGAAGCGATAGATGTGCCTATAGAGGAGCAGTGCCCAGACGCGCCGCCAGATGCTGCAGGTGGTGGCTAGATGAAGCAGTAATTTAGTTTTATCGATTTTAAAGAAATCTTGAAGCGCCCCGCTACGGAGGGATTGCGCTGACCCCGGCATGTTCTGCATTGCCTCCGCATGAGCTCCTCTGTTTCATCGGGAGAGGCAGGGTGTTTGGAGATCTGCGAAAACGGGCACGCAGGCAGGCGGTGCTCTCGGAAACAAGCGGAAAAGACGACGCTGATCGCGCTGTCGGCACTTCATCCGCGTTCCGATTCCACCTCGTAGCTTTCACAGAGACCTTTTCTAGGGAGGGCGAGAAGCAAACAGACGCAGTTGGTTTGCTTGTGTGTCCCCGTTTGCCACTGTGCACCACACAGCGGCAGCAGTGGGAAGTTGCCACGAGAGAGCCGTAGACGGAACTTGAAGAAGTGGGAGTAATTTCACAAGTTTGTGATGTTTGTGTGTGTGTGTCGCAATCGCTTGACGGAGGTGCTGTCCATGAGCCACAGGAACATGGTAGGGTGCTTTCTAGCAAGAAAAGACTCTTGCCACAAATCCCCGAGGGTGGCGGGAGAGGGGGGACGCACAGACTGGGATGGACAGGGAGGTCGCGGGAGTGGGTAGAAAAGATGAAAAAGGAAGGGCAAGACAGACCAACACCGCATACTAGTCAAAAGATATGCTGACACGGGGTTTTCTGCACTGCGATGGGTAGGCACACAGATAGATATGTAGCGGACGCGGGGATGCACACGAGGGGCCGCCACATGCGGAGGGCAGAGAGTGTATTGAGGCAGTTGTCTAAGCCGTCGTAACGCCGATCTTCTGGTGTTACTGCTTGAAGAGAGAGGGTGGGGGGAATCTTGTTGGGCGGGATCTTAGAAGCGTGTAGGCGTCACGCAGGACGACTACTGTGCGTGCGGTAGTCCAGCGCTCTTGCATGCAGTCCGACGCGTGGGCAGTGCATTTAATGCATTCCTATTGGTACAGGGGTATCGGGCTAGTTCCATCATGAACATGCGAACGAAAAACTATTGACACGGAAAGCTGACTAGGCGCACCTCGAGTGTAAGGCAGGTTATTGAGGCAGGTATACTACCATGACCCCCCATTCGGGAAGCCCCCTTCTACGGGCAGTCTGTGTGTCAGGGAAATGCTGCAGTCATCAGTACCTTCACACGTGACTGACCTAACGAACGCAAAGCGATGCCCTAAGTATAGCTAGAGTATACTTCTATATATATATATATGGAGCTAGAGTATCCTTCTATTTATTTGAATACAGTAAACCCCACATTCAGCGGGGGACGGAGGCCGCGTGGGAGGAAGTAGCAGAACCCTGCGGCTGTGGGGTACCGCCGTAATCTGCCTCACTTCGCGATCACACCCAGGGAAATGGCCTCGGGCGGCACATGGCACCCTGAGTCCTTCGTGTTCGACAAAAGCCTCTACCATCCCCGAGAGATTCAGGGATCTTAGGGGCCTTAAACGCCTCCTCGTACTCGAGGGGCGATAGGTTGGCCACACGGATTTTGACAGACCCACAGCAAACAGCAGCTGCTTGCCTGTCCATATGTAGATTCTAGTCAGCATTTATATATATTATATATCCATGAGATGCGCTGTTACGGAGTCGTATACGCAACATCACGCAACACCGTTAGGCGCAGGAGACACCAGATTTGAAGAAATGATGGAAGAAAGGCGCCCGATTTACCCACACGCTCTCGCCTGTAGGAGTGACCGCTTGTTTCTTTGCGCAGAAAGCGAAAAAGCTCTCCAAGAAAGTCCTTCCACTCCTCACACAGAGACGGTGGTGGGCCTCGGGAGGGCTCTTGCCCCCATAGTGTATTGGAAAACTACTGAGGCAACACAGACTTTAGCTGGGTGAAGACCTCCGCTCTGTCTGCTATCGGCAACCGCTGCAACAGCTGCAGTAGTTCCCTCTTCGAATGTGCTATCTCGGTGTGCTGCAGCAACTGTCGCACGGCCTCTGCCCCCTCTTTACCTGCAGCCATACAAGAGCAGCGGCGAACGTCAACGTACCAAGACACACTATGGTCCGCGGCCTGAGTTTAGCCAACCGTAACAGCCTATACTCCCGACGCAACGCAGAGTTCGAAGGCATGGCGGCTCAGCTCACTGTCTAGGAATGCAACTGCGGTCTTATCGTCTACGGTTGCGGCAGCTTGGGGGATTTGCGAGTCGAGTAAGCGCAGGGCATCCTCCCACTGAAGAGAAGGATCTGCAGCTATCAGCTTTTTCCTGCACCAAGACGCGCCGCACGATGGCGAGGAACGCTTCTAAAGGATACGCAATACGATAGTGAAGGCAGGAGGAAAGAGCAGATTCATTTGAGTACAGCAGAGAGGGGGCATGAGAAAAACACACTGAGGAGCAGCCACGAATACGACTGTGTTCACACGCACACAGAGATACGACCATTCACCCACATAACGCCCACATTGCCACATATATGCACATCGGAGGGTAATTATTACCAAGGGAGAAGACAGAGGAAGAAACTGAAGAGCATTACCAAAGTCCCCAAACAGCAGGACAGCAGCAGAGACTGCAAAAGCTTCCTCCCATATTCCCAAATACACTAAGGGTCCACTGCGTATGAAGGCATACACGGCTGCATTAGAGGAAAGGCGCCTCCTAATCCTCCAGTAGAAGAACTCCCTAGCCCGTGGCCAACTGAGGATCTCCCTGACACCCCCACGCGCCGCCATGCGGGGGGCCCTGTCGTGCAAATCCGCGTATACATGAGCCACCTGAACAATTTGAAACACAAATGAAACCGGCAGGTAAAGATCTCCCTGCTCAGCCCCCTATTGCCTTCCCTTCTAAATTCTCCGCACTCCCCGCTGTCGGCCCGTTTCTAGCTTTCAAGTCTTTCCTCTTAGGGCTGGAGCTGCAGAAACAAATACGACATCCGTCACCTAGCTTTAGCCACTAGGCCCGCAGGAAGAACAACAAGAGGGAGCTTTCCCCTACCTGCGTGTACACAGGCATCAGTTGTTCTTCTCTTCGCTTGATATCCTGAAGGATCACCTCCGCTTCTTCTGGTGTCTGAAACAAACCCCCCCCCCCGCAATGCAGACTGCACCAAAAGCACGTTACGCATACCGAAGTCCACGAGAAAAGTCCCCTTTGAGGCACTACTCATCCCCCCTCCCCTCACGATCTCTGCCTTCGCAATCACCAGTGATCCTTCAAGCGCCTGTAAAGGGTCCTAAAGCCGTGCGATTGACGCGTTCGGAAGCTAACGACCCTCTCGCCCCTCTAAATAAGATAACGGGTAGAATCACGGACATTTGCAGCCGCTAGATCTTGCTGCCACTGCACGAGTGTACGATCATTCTTGTGCATGAGCTTCTTTCGCTCTGCCTCTCTGAACTTGATTTCACAGATTCCTGGGGGCTCTAGCACACCTCCCCTTGCCAGCTCGTCGGCATAGAGCTCCATTTGGGATGCGTTAATCGTAGGGTCAATAACCACCCAGGAGCCACCCCTCAGCTCCGCATGCGGTGGAATATACACAAATACAGGATGCCGGTACACCCGGAGGGCATCCACAATCATTGAGCCGAATTTCAGCACCTCGTTGAACATGTCCCGTGTGCCTCCCGAGAAGCCTCGCCAATTCGCAAAAATTATCAGTGGCAGATTCTCTCCTCTGTTGAAGTCTGCAATCGCCTGTGCCGTCTTGTACGCGCTAGATGGGAACCATACTTGGCCTGCCTGTACGCCGCAGGCAGAGACCCGCACAGCATCCTTGACACATTCCCACATGACGGTCCGTCCGCACGCGTGAGCTAATAGTTAGGCCATGTGCCTTTACTCTTTGTTTTATGCAAAAAGAACCGCGCGGCGAAACCTTCCCTTGACACGCCCACGCTTAGAACCCCTCCTAAAACATGAGGCCAACATTCCCCAAGAGAAGATAGGGGCCCCATCCCCACCCCCGGCAACGCTGGAAACGCAGAATGAAGCAGAACAAGAAGCCTCGGTTCGGTGTGCCTTCTACAGCGCTTATGTGTCAAGGTACGAACGGACCTGTTGCGTCTCGACTCTTGCACTATCGGCATTCGCTGGATCGGCAGGTGCCACTGCAGTCGTTGTTCTAGGGTCTACAGCAATAACTCCAATGGGTTGACCGCCAAGCCTCGCCCTCCCCACGACAACACCAGCACCCCACGGACCAAGGACCTCCTTAAAGCTGTCTCTGTCACAGAAACCTGAGATCCACCGTTCCTTAGGCGCTTGTGCTGACTCGTCTCCTTCGCTGTCGGAATGTGGGGGTGAAGACGGCGGCGTCGCAGGCGTGATATATCCCGCCAGCATGTGCCGCGGATCGTATGGAGTGGGGCTTGGAGTAAACTCGATGTCCCTGTTTACGGGGTCAGTAGAGTGGTGCGGCGCGTGGAGGTCGTCGGCTGTTGGCGGCACGAATTCTAGCCACTTCATGACTTCAGCAATGCCTTCTCTGTCACTGGCCACCTCCAAATGGGCGATGCCATTAGGAATCATTACTTCGGGGCCTCCCAGCTGGTCCTGCGAGACGTAGACCTCCCGTCCTAGTAGCTTGTTGAGAGCCTGATACCCTGTCAGCACCAAGGGAGAGTTCCTCTGCTGTATGCAACGCTGGGCTAGCCGCACCACATAGGCCCCGATGCCCACCGATCTCCCAGATACCAGAGACAAGGTAAAAGTTTCATCGTAAGCCTGACTCGTCTCGCCCGCTATCTTGCCGGACCCCCGAAGGTTTTCAACTCCCAAGTACTCGTTGTCCGACCCGATAATTGCGTCCAAAACAAATACGCGCTTGCCATCAGCGGCAGAAGAAGCCTCCCAATGACCCACGACGGCCCCCTGTGGCAGTTGCTGGTAATCTTCTTCCGTTATAAACAGATGCTTGAATCCCAACGGGGGGTTCGCAGGGTCGTTCCACTCAACTTGTATCTTCTCCTTGAGCTGTTCGTACACCCCAATCCTAGCCCCGCTGTTGCATGCGATGTAAATGCGAGGCAACTTGTGCTTGCGGGAAAACGCAGACGCCTGCCGATAGAGCTCGTGCTCATCCACCCCAAACGAACCTCCCTGGTGAGTCACATCGTTTCCAATGAGCACAACCTCCCGACCCTCCGGATACTCCGGCGTCCGCAGCAACAACAAAAAGGCAACCATTCCAACCTTGTTGTCGCCAACCAGCCAGTCACTCCGTAACTGCAATTTCCCGTCCTCTCCCATATGGAACTCGCGCGCCTGAAAAATCGTAGCAGCACCAACAACAGCGTGTCTCGAAAATACGTATGCATCTACACGCCGAAAGCGGGAAGAGACACGCAACTCTGGCAGCAACACGAGCAGCACAATCAACAAATGCAGCAAAAATTACCTCCACAAGCTTCTCTGGAACTTGTAGTATGCGGCTGTCTCCAGCATCGACAAGCTCTTGTTGACTTCGCTGCCACTGCTGTCGCAACTCAGCCTTGATGAACCCCAAGAAATCATATATATATGTGCTGCCCGCGCGCTGTGCTGCGGCCCTTTTGGCAGCCAGCTGTGCCTCATTTATGCCTTTGAGCACAACTAGAGGAGCAGTTCTCTCTGCCTCTGCCGCTGCCGCCGTACGAGCACCAACTTGGCAGCCCCCTGTACCTCTTGAACTCCCGTGCCGGGTCCATGAAACGGAGAAATCATCGCTGCTATGAGACTCAATCGAAGTGCGGAATTGTTCTGCTGCCGTTCGATCAGCTGGGGTAGAGGCCTCGGCCTCTCTGGATCCCCCCGTCTCGGGTGTCTGCAATTCTGAAGGAAGCGGAGAAGGGACCGTGGAACTCTCAGCCGTAGACACCTCTAATGGTAATTCTGGCTGCCTTGGCTGGAGCTGTTGCTGTTGCGGTGCCTGAAACTCTGCAGACGGAGAAGTGTGCAAGTCACACTCTCTATCGTACAGAGCAGAGGCCGGTAACCCCTGTGTCTCTTGCGGCTCGAGCCAGCAGCCGCCTCTGCTGGACGCACGCAGCACTTGCTGCTCCGGCACTGTATCTTCCAGGGAGACGCCAGGAGAGGAGACGGCCTGCGGCACCTTGAGATCTAACTTTTCGACATTGAGCTGCAACAGACGCTCGCCTTCTGTTGCTTTGAGCGTCTGCAAGCCCTCAAAAAAGGCCGCCTGTAGGGCTGCACGCTTCTCCTCTGTTTGCGGCGGCAGCAGCTGCAGCGTTATGCTGCTGCTGCTCGTGGGATGCACATGGGGGTCCCTGAAGGCTGCTTCCAGTTGCTGCAGCAGTAGCTGCAGCAGCTGTTGCATGCCATTGCCCTCCAGCAAGGGCTCGGCGTCGGCCACAATGCGGTGTACGTACACCGTATCCCTGAGGGGGGGAGTTCGCCGCGTTGCGGGGGCCCCAGGAACCGCCGACGGCTTTTTGGGGGTCAGTGCATGCAGTAGAATATCCGCAGATGCAGCAGGAGGCACTGCTGCAGAAGCAGCGACAGAGGGCAACCGCCGTACTGTCCCTTCAGACTGAAGACGTTTCAGGTCCGCAAAGACAGCCTGGGAAAGAGATAAGTTGCTGCGGCCACAGAGACATCAATCTCGCAGAAGAGTGCTGCCACTGAAGCAGCCTTAGCAGAAAAGATGGCAGTCCAGCTAAACGATAGACATGTGTGTGTGACACGGCAGAAGCGCCTGTGTCGGATGAAGCGCAACTAAGATCCTCTTTTCGTGACAGCAGAAGCCACCACAGGAGCAATGCAGCACATGCACCAGCAGTTCCTCCGCCCCCACTCGCCAGTTTCTGATTCTGTGCGGTCCAGGCCTCCTTGTACCGATGCATGTATATTGCAGGAGGACAGGAACGTAGGACTTACCGTTGCAGAGGATCTTCCTGCAAGAGCTCTGGTTGCTCGTGCTCCTCCTCCTCCTCCTCCTGCCGTTTCGGCTGTACTAGGGCAACCTGGTGCGTATCTCCGTTGCCGTCGGGAAGCAACAGGCGGAGACTGTCGAGGCCCTTCAGCGCTGCTGCAGCTTCTGGATTTTTTGCTGCTGCAGCCGCCACAGTGGCAGCGAGGTCTTCCGTCGTCGCAGCGGTGATCGCTTCCGTGGATGGGGGTACGCTCAGCATCAGCAGGCTGTTGCTGGCATTGCCGAGAGCCTTTTGCTGCTGGTGGAGCTGCTGCAGCAGCGAGCCAAGCCGTTCTTGAAGATCCTGCATGCTAGAGCAAGCAGCGAAGAGGCCCACACGCTCCGCCGCTGCTAGTCCTTCATGCACGGTGTCTCTCCACGTGAAGGGAATGCAGCCGTCCTGCTGCTCTTGCAGGTGCACCTCAAGTCCCAGGAGCTGCCTCCTCAGAACCATTTCCTGCGCTTTGCTGCCAACTTCGGGATCTTTGAAAAGCTGAGTCAACAGTCCGTAGCCCCCGAATTCCTCGGGGAGCTGCAGAAATTCTTTCTGCAAGTTGGTTTGCTCGGAGCGATGCTGCAGCTGCAGCAGTTGCTGCAGCTGCATACGCAGGGAAGCGACGCGGTCATTCACCGAGGGCAGCAGCAGCTGCTTCCTTAACCGCTGAGCCGCCAACGCGAGCACATTGTAGGGATTGCCCTTGAGCACCTCCACGCGCCGAAGGAGGCCCTGTAGCACTGTCATGTCAAGAGAAGGAGTCTCTGGAGAAACGAGCCGCCTCTGAAGCAACAGCAATTAAACACGTTCGGAGGGAGGGAACCATACAGCACCTGCGCGTCCAGTAGCGGACGGATACAACAAAGCAAAGATCCAATCCACGCCTGGCAAATTTCTGCTGCTGCCACGACTGCCAACGGAGGCCCCAGCCAGCTACCGACAGCACAGGAGCAAAGGTTCAGCAAACGACAGTAAAGACGCAGCAACGGCAAAAGGACCAGGCGTCTCTCACCGCAAGCTCTTTAAGGAAGAGCAGCAGCACTTCTGCCTTTTGCTTAAGTGCGTAGTGGGATACATGAAACCGGAACTGCCCTTCGGTGTCTCCGCCTGCAGCAGCAACCGCTGCTGCAGCTGCAGCGTGCCCTTTCCCCGCGAAGAGCTCCTCCGTAGCAAGAAACTGCTGCAATGAGCGCTCTACGATGCGGACCAGGGCCTCCAGCGAGGCGCCAGAGGGGCCCCCTAGCAAAGACTGCACCAGCTCCTGCGCAGACTGGTGCTGCACGTATCCGCTGAGCAACAGTTCCAAGCGCTTCTCTGCATTCGCTGCCTCCTCTGCTGCCGTGTGTGGGAGCACATTGCCCTGTACTGCTGCTGCAGCTGACTCATCAGACGCGTCTGTGTCTCGCTGCGGCAGCGAGGGAGGAGACAGGTCCAACGCCCCCTCGAAAGGCTTCAGACGCATGACCTTGGACGGATCGGCTAGCCGGAGAGACGCCAGCAGCTCCCCTTGAGTCAATAGCGAGCCTGCACTCTTGCGGTGTATCAGCTCGCCACTCTCACCAGCCTGGACGCACAGAACAGAACAGGCAGAGGCAGCGAAAAACACGTTTTCCTCACACCCCCTAAGAGGAAGCGATGACAGCAAATGAGAACCTTCTAACCAGTGTCTAGAGGGGTGGCCATGCAGAGCGCTTTCAGGGAACCCCTCTGCAAACGTCTCTCTGTCTGACATGTTGCCAGTGCGCCTCCCACCACGCCCTTTGAAAGTTCGGCAGTACACGAACAAACTCCCTTGAGAGAAGGGCCTTACGGTAAGTGTGAGGATCATCTTCATAGCCTCCACTTCTGCGAAAGGCTGCCCCTTGCTGACTGTCTCCCCGTCTTGCACGAGGAAGCGGACCAGGCGCCCGTTCACGTCCGATCGCAGCTCTGAAGGGTCTCGTTGGTCTAAGATCATGAGAGAGTTGTTTTCCAGTTCCAGACGCAAGCCAAGGGGCTCTTCCGTGGCGCTGAATCGAAGCAAACGCGGGTGCCGTGGCTGCTGCTGCTGCTGATCTTGATCCTGCTGTTGTTGCTGATCCTGAGCCTGCTGCTGGCACGCTTCCGGGTTTATAGACAGCAGGTAAGATCCGTCGCTCTGCTTTCGGTACTCGAGTTCCCCTTGCTGTTTGTTGATGCTGAATCCCAGAGTCAAGGGGCCGGTGCGCGTGAAGCGGAGCTTGTACAGCTGACCTTCCCATGCAATCTGCGTCTCGGTTGACAACAAGGGGCCTACAGGAGGCAAGTAGGTGTGCCCGCGTGCTGCGACTGCGATCCAAGAGGCCTTCTGCTTCTGTGGACAACACGCAACAACACGCAGTCGAGATGAAACGCGCTGACAGCCTAGAAAGCCGAACGCTTGCAAAGCTTGAATCCCGAAAAAACAAACACACTTCTAAAAAAAGTGCCGAAACAGAGCTGTGGGCAGCAGCCGACTAAGTGGTATGCAAGAACAGCAGCAGAAAAAACGGCAGATATTGCAACTAACAAGGAGACGCTACGCGAAGCCTTTTTTCTGCCGCAGCGGCACGCACAACACACACACACGCAGCAGCCAACCCAACCCCTACTTCGTAAGAAGATGTCTCCGCCCTACCTCCAGTGCCTGTATCGCTCTGAAGGCGGCTGCGGCAAAGACGACATCATCCGCCTTCGGAGAGGGAAGCAGTTCTTTGGCCTTAATGATGCCATCTAGCCACTCGGTGTTGAGCGTGTGATTCACAAAGGCCGGCTGCTGCAGCAAGACCTGCAGGAAGTTAACTGGAGTTCTAATATCGCCCTTGATGTGAAGCTGTTGTAAACCCCAGATAAGCCGCTTTCTGGCTTCGTTTCGAGTGGCCCCTCCGGCAAAGATGTGCCCGAACTGAGAATCAGCGTACGGATGAATCGCGCCCTGCGTGCCGACAGAGAAGTACCCCCAGACTTTCTCGGGAGGGTGGAAATCCAGGGAGTGCAAGGCTCCGCTTGTTGGTCGAAAACCGTCGCTGGGATTCTCTGCCGTCACGCGAGCCTGAAGAGAGAAACACACGGGCGCGATAGGGGGGCAGCTATTCAAGGGCGAGATGCGCGAATGCGAGATGCATTATTGTTGTCTATGGCTCCTCAACGCCGAAACAAATGATGGGGGGAGAGCAGAAGGAGATATATATATATATATATGCGAGGCATACACTCATGGAGGCAAAAGGGAGCCCTCAGCAGCCGGACCAGGCAACGACGAAGGCCGGCAAAGATTAGCGTCCAGATAAGCACAGGCCAGGCACACAGAAGAAGACGTATGCATGTGAAGATGCACACTTTAACACATTTACACACACACATGAAACGGGAAGCAGCAGGGTTAGGGAGAATAGACATGCAGCGACACACACAGACTGGCAGTCTCGCAAAGAGGCAGCGACACATGCACATACACATACATATACCTTGACGGAGGCCGAGAAAGGAAGCACCGATGCGACTATGTGGAGATGTTGACGATTCCGCCAAGAGTTTTTCTCGGAAAAGACAGCGTCCCCCTTAGGAGATCGTAGAGCTAGCTTCCTGGGGGGAGTAGAATTTCGCGAATGGCAGGGGCAGCCGACATTGACTCACCGCAATAACATGCATCTTGGGCGGAACGTAGTCTTCGGAAAGAAAATCAATAGGATCCGTGCCTTCGGGATCTCTTCCAAAGAAAGTTCGGATGCTGGGAATCCTGTGTAGCGGGATGCCCATGGCGATCTGCAGCTGGAGGGCTGGGAGGTTTTGTCCAGTGACTGCTTCTGTCACCGGGTGCTCGACCTGCAGGCGCGGGTTAAGCTCCAAAAAGTAGAAGGAGTCTGTTGCTGGATTAAATAGGTACTCGACAGTCCCGAGGCCTTCGTAGCCAAGCGACTGCGTCAAGCGCTGCGCTGCGCGTTCCATCTCCCTGCAGGCAAGAAGCGCGAAGGCAGGCCTCTCGTGCAACCCTCATGCGCGAAGGCGAGCAACAAACAAAGACCCAGCAGCGGGAGGCGAAGAGGGCCGAACTATGGAGCAGGAAGGCATGAGCGGAAATCCAAACGAAAGCCACATGACACGAGAGAAGGCGTTACGTGCTTTATATAGTTATATGTATCCCATCTTGTTGGCAAGCGCTGCCTGAGACCCCAGAGCGCCTACTTGAAGGTTTCCGGCCTAACGACGGTGGGTGGGGCCTCTTCAAATATCTTTTGGAAGCGTCTTTGCGTTGAACAGTCGCGGCCTGAGAGAGCTACGGCGCAACCCGAAGCATCGCCAGCAATCTGAACTTCGATGTGCCGAGCCTTCTCACAGAGCTTCATCATGAAAACAGGAGATCCAGGAACTTCGCCCTGAACCTGCGCCAGAGCATTCTCTAAATCGTTCGGCGTGTAGCACAAGCGAATGCCTTTGCCGCCCCCCCCGCCAGAAGCCTTCAGCAGAAAGGGGTAGCCAACGCGATCGGCTGCGGCTCGGCATTCTTCCACGGTCGATATAGTGGCGGCCTTGAAAATCTGCGGAAGCCACGGCAGCAGCAACAGCAGCAGCAGCATACTGCGATAGTAACGCCTCCGGGAAGAAGACCCAATAGCGGAGCAAAGGCAGCAGGAGACACTGAGCAAACTCCGGGCAAAAGTAAGCCTACAGGTCCCTTGCCACGTCTATATATATATATATATATATATATATATGTGTATATGTATATATATATATATACACATATATGCATATATATATGTATGCATATATATATGTATATATATATGTATGTATGCATATATATATGTATATATATATGTATGTATGCATATATATATGTATTTATATATATGTATATATATATATATATGTATATATATTTGTACATATAAAAGTACATAAACACACAGAATCATTTCCAAGAGGGAATGCCACAAAATACACATTTGCACGGTGAAACAGAGGGCAAAGCGGGCAGCAGAAAGCCGCTCCCACACAACGAAGATGCTTTGTGGAGGCTCAAGTCAGACGTGACAGACTTCTTCAGGAATGGAGCCTTCGTCATTGAGCTGAGCCTTAAGCCCATCCCCACTCCACGGAATGGAGGGCACATTGGCTGTTTGCGCCAGGATATTTGCGGCGATCTTGTCTCCCAACGCGGCCATGACCGTTGCCTTCGGTCCTAAGAACGAAATTCCCAACTTTGCTAGAGAGGAAGGAAGCTCCGGATTCTCGGAAGCATGACCCCAACCGGGCCACACGGCGTCCACCTGAGCAGCAGAACCAAAACAAAAGCTCGAGAAGCTGCTGCTGCCACGCACGAGGCAGCTGCACGAATCGGATACTTGCAGGCTTGCAGGTCCACGCTCGGCATTCGCTAAAAGGTGGGAATACGGATCATCATCACGCGCAGGGAGGCGCATCTCTCTCTTGCACACGTCCGTGCTTTGTTCGTGGACAGCGCACCTTCTGCTTGATTGCTGTCTCGCAGATGAGGGCGACATTGCCGTAGTTGTTTTTGCCGGGGCCCCCCGGCACGTGAACGATGGCGTCTGCCTTCTTCAGGAATTCACTGTTGGCCTCGAGATCCTCTGGCGTCGCCATTGCAACGAAAGTTAGCAGCTGCGGCACAAGAAGAAAGGGCGTAGAGAAGCAGGCAGCCATTGGAAAAGCGCCGCATCCGCGCGCGCGGTGTACAGACCGACACAAGAGGCAGCGGCAAACTTCACCAGGTCCACACGACGCACACTGGCATCTCCGAAAGTTTCAAATGCCCATTGCCGCATCGAGGCGATTGCCTTGGTGGCTGCCATCCCATTGTTGGCAATTAGAATCCTCCGGATCGGCTTAGAGCCCCTGAAGGAAAACGACACGCATACAGCAGCGGCGCAGCCTTCGGCTACCTGCGAAGACGGAGTTCTCCGACAGATCGTTTTGGTGCGCACGAGGTCGAGGCTGGCGCTAAGAGAGACACCTGCGAAACAGGAGGCACTAAGGGGGCAAAGACTGGGCAAATTTTTAGCCGTTTGAGGCAAGGAGCCAAATTTTTGCCGCTGAGAGGGGGCGTGAGAAGGGGGGAAGCCACCGCTGCGAGGGCGAGCAAGACAAAAGCGGCAAGAAAGCGTGCCAGAAGCCCTTCTGCCTGCCTTGCAACTGGGAAATCCCATAAATACAAACAAACTTCTCCTCTGACAGTGTGGAGAAGGCCCTTCCTTCTCCATTCTTCTTACCCATGCATCTGAACAAAGGTAGCGAGGGGGTCTTGCGAGTCCATCCAGGGGCCCCTCTGTTTCTGCACTTCTTCCAACTGGGCCCGCTGGGGGCCCGTGAGGGGCGAGCCCCCCGGGAGCTGCTGTACAGACACCGCACGAAGGCAGCAGCGTGTCTTTCAGCGTGCTTCAGACCTAGTGGCCGTAGTAGCGTGCCGAGGACTACCTGTACACCCCAAATTCCGTAGGGGGAGAACCGCGTGCCTTACGCCTGGGGCCATGGTGTCTGTCTTGACCTCGGTAGGTGTTGCTGGAGAGGCTGCCTCGCGTATCGCGGGGAGGGTGCCCAAGCTGCCTTCCGCCGCTTGCAAGCGCAGGCCTGACTGGGAACCCTTCGCCCCTAGAGGCAAGGGGGATAGGAGAGGGCCACACTGGAGAGCTCCCGGTGCTGCTACGTTTACGCGGCAGCTAAGCCCTGGGGAGAGGTGTCTTCCCCAGAATGCGGAGGAAGAGGGAGAAGAGGAAGCGGTAGAGAAGCTTAGGGGAGATGCCTGCACCAACTGCTGCCGCTGAGGCAGCAGGGGGCCCCCGGCCAGGCTGCCGCTGTCTTTGAAGGCCTCAGTTGGAGGCAAACAGAGGATCCCCAGCAGTAGCAGCAGAGAGAAGGGGGCAAGTGACCCTAAATACTGCAATGGCAACAACCGCGGTAGAGCACTCCTGTCTATGCTGTCTCTCTTTTCTCTGAACATCTTGAGGGTTTTCCTGCTGCTCTGGGGCGAGAAGCGAGAGAGAGAGAGAGGCGCGAAAAGAAGGGCAGACGACGACACAACGCGTTTTGCAGAGATCTGTTCTCTCTCTCTCCACACACACACAGGCACAGCTGGCTCACGCGCTGAGAGTCCACAGCCACCACAAGCGGAATGGTCAAGTTTACAGCCGCTGTTGGGGCGGGAGGGAGAACACTCCGCAGGCAGACACCGCGTCCCCTACCCCAGGAGGAATGCGCCTAAGGGAGGATAGGAGCACAGGCGGCCCTTTACTGCAGGCTAAAGGCCGACACGAGCCTCCAGGTGAAGGACGCTAGCAAAGGATGTACAGACAGCCGGGAAAGCCATGTCAATCCGGGCAGTTCTTGGGGAGAGCCAGACGCAGCCTTGTGCAGGGCGATGAGCGAGGCGAGGCCCTCGGCTGTCGTGGCAGTGTCTGAGAGTTTTAGAAGCTCGGATGCGCGGGGGGGGCCATAAAAGAAGGTGCCAAACGCTGGGAGAGCAGCGTTTGGAGGTGTGTGGACACCCCAGCGCCGGACTGGCACGGCCCTGCAGGGGGGGAACCGATGTAAGCAGCGCCACTGCGCAGCCCAAGGGCCTTAAAACAGAGGTGAGAGGACTTATTGCCTCCGGGGGTTCCTTAATCCTGCAGAGACTCGTTTAGCAGTGCAGGCACGCCGAGCAAGGCCGAACGGAGAGAGGAGCGGCTAGTGCGTTGTGGAGGCCTTAGCACTACGCTATGAAAGCACGGCCAAGGGAAAGGGAATCACGAACCCTCAGGAAAAGCGTTAGAGAGGAACGGAAAGCAGCCACAACTGGCGTGCCCACGCACTGTGGGGCAATGCCAGTTCTGCAGCTGATCTCTAGTTGAGGAGAGAGAGCAGCCGGCGGGATACAAGGAGGCCCTGCGGTTAGGGCTGGCCCTCGACTTCGTAGGGTGGAAGAAGGGCCCCCTAACACTAAAGAGAAGCACAACGGCACTCTACAGAGGCTAAGTTCACCGTATTTCCTGCTTCGGTAAGGGAGACACTCACATACAACCCCGGCGACAACCTGCGCGGCTGTTTGACGCCACAAGGGCGAGACGGACGCTGCCAGTGCACTGCGTGGGAAGAGCACTATTTCAGAGACAGCCGAATCTCCGTTTGCTCAATTAAAGGATACCGGGGCCAGTGCAGAGCCCTGAATCAGTGAAAGAGAGGCCGGATTTGCAAAGTGCTCGCATATCCTGCGAGGAGACAGACGGCCTAGGCTCCCTATCCCGTGGGCTGGAGACGTTCGTGCCTCCGACCCGTAACACACCACCAATTGCATCGTAATTGGACTTAATCTGTGTCTTCTGCAATACAAGCGAGGGGTTCTTGAGGGGGAGCGAGCACAGTTCTGTCTTCCTCCTGCCGTAAGGTCCTGCGAGACCCTTCCCCCAATGGATCTACCACGTACAGTAGAGTTCAGCTTTTGAGGGATATAGATTCGAATGAGAGGGCGTGCAAGGTATTCCCTGCGATGCGGAGTGAAATCGGCTTCAGGCTCCTTGAAATGGCCGTGAGCTGAACTCAAAGGACGCTTTCGCCGGGGTCATTGTGACGTCACGTTGAGGAATATATCGATACACGTGCAAAGAAGACATCGCAGTTTTTTTTCTACTTACTCTTTGGGATTAAACGATGCATCCATGCGCTAGCACCAACCGCTCTCTGGGAACAAGAGAGGGGAACGCTGGCTTACAGCACAAGAACAGCACAACAGTTGCGCGTACTGAGTGCTTGGCAAGCAAATCGCCCCCTACCCGAAGTGAAGGTGGGTGGGAAAACACCAGGAAAGAGGCAATGACTTATAAAAGGACACAACTTTGCGCTCCCGTGCAGTAATCACTGTGGAGAGGAAGTCATATTCTTCCTGCTTTCAGTCGTGTTGTCCTAGAGAGCAGCACCTCATAGGTTCTCCTCGCTCATATTCACAGAGGAAGCAGTCTTCATAAGGACCCTTCGGGAAAGGTCTGCATTCCTTGCAAAGATCTCTAGTACTCTTTGTCCCCTAAAGCACAGAGTCCCTGCCCTACCTTAGGGAAAAGCCGGGGCCCTGGGCCCCTGAAGCTGAACCGTTCGAGCTGTATAGGCAGCTACATGGACAAACTTGACGCACAGATACCTGGCATACACCTGTGGAGTGTAGAGCTAGCCCTACGCAATAGCCAATGCATGGGTACAGTGACTTCGCGGGATTACTCGTTGTAGCTAATTCTTAATTGTCATATGGGGGAGACAGCTGTTAATAGCTCACCACCTTTGCTCTCTTTATCGCTTTTTGCTCATGAATTCCATATTCATAGTACGTTTTGGAGGCATCGAATGAGTAATAGTGCTTCTTTTCCTTTGCTGAAGGCAGGGCGTGCCCATTTCTGTGAAGCCACTTTCAGTGCATTCCCCAAAGCGCGGCCAGGAACTCTATGCATATAAATCGCTTTCCAGAGCATCCAGCTCCTCACGCTCATGCTCACTCGCTTCTGTTAAGCAATGTGACATTATTGCGGGCTCATGACAGTGGAGCAGCCGGGTGCAATTCTTCCTTGACAGGGATTGCGTAGCCTCTATTAAGTACTTGGGGCTGAGCTACAAATCCCCTTCCAGACTCTGAGTAACAAGCAAGGCACACGACAAACTCTCAGTCGTATACCAATATTTCCTGTGCATCCCAAAAGGCGCGACCACCGAAATTCGTGTGCAGCGCGCCATGATGCTTCCCTTCGACATTTCCTCCTGCAGATGCTCTCTTGAACAAAGGAATAGTTGTAAAAATACCAATGGCTTGAAGTACAAACCTCAGCTCAAAACTGTACGCTTCTCGAAAAACAAAGTATCCTTGAGTGCTAGATGTTGCTCTGTAGGTACACATCTTTCACACACAAATTGAGACAAACAGGTGGTGTTTTAAACGCCGCTTGCGCATTTGCAGTGTTTGATCAATGCAAGAGAAGGCAATGGTCTGAGCCTGATATCTCTAGAGGTTGCTATGTGCAAGTAGCTGTCACCGGTAGGAAGGCTTCGAGGGAGCAGCGATGCGCCCGCTAGCTCTCTCTCTCTCCTCATATCGGAGGCCAGAGGGACGCCGGCAAAGAAAGAGTCAACCTACTTAAGAGCATACCTCATAATTTTTCATACTGTGTTGAGTGTCTGGAGTTGTGTGTCGCTCTCCTTAGTCTTTGGATACAGGGTTCTACATTCTGCTTCCCTTTCCCTTTTCTTGCCGCATGGAGGCGGCATATTCGCAGGGTGTATGCACAGAGAGAGGCTACGAGTGTCTTCGGCCATCCATTCAGTGTGAACCCGCTTTTCAATCCTCGTTTTAAACAAAGGAACAATAACCACCAAAGGCCAAGTGACACTTGGAGGCACTCGCGATCAATTTAGCAATCCGCGCAACGAGGGAGTTCCCACTAAGGGGAGGCAAAAGTCTGGAATCCAAGGGCACCTTTGGTGTTGCTACCTACGGCCCACGCATAACGGCGACAAGACAAGAGGCTGAAGAGACAAAGAGCGCTGACTCACATATCAGTCCTATCAGTGTAGGCCCCGTTTCCCTCTCTTCCACCCCAACTCTCTTTTTCTTTCTTTCGTTCGCTCTGTATCTGCCCTGCTCGTTTTCCTCCCCAGATGCCTCGTCTAGGACGCGATGACACGGGTGTTTTATCTAGTCAAGGGATTGCGACTATGCTCAGGAAGAGGCCCATGAGATGGTTCAGGCATTTTTATTGGCAAATGTGGAGAGGGAAGCGGAACGGAGTTAATTTTTGGGTGTTGCTGTTGAGCAGAGTCACAACTGGATGGAATGAAAAGGCCATAAATATGTCGTTGACTTGGGTTTTTCAAGGGACTCTTTGAGCGACTTTGAAATCTGTCCACCTGTTCCTTCCTTCAGCCCCCTTGTCCTGGCTTGTATCAGCCCCTTCTACTTTTGTTCCTGATGTCCTTCTTGCCACTTAGTTCCTCCCTTTGCGCTGTTCAGTGCCTCTAGGCACGAATGAAATCAAAGAAACATAGGCAGCGGGGACATATCTTAGCAGCAGAAACGCCAGCGTCCCACTTGTCTTTTTGCAGCGTATCTCGTTTCTCACTGCAAGGGGTTGGAGGACTTCCTAGGGGGTTTCAGGAGCTATTCAGAAGCTACCGGTTGTAACGTTTCTTCGTGTGTCCAGCGGGCTTAGCCGTGGCGCGGGAAGGCACAAGAGCAACTGACCAAGGGGATAATAGGCGTACGGACAGAATGAGAGGGGCAAGCACATAAACCGGTTGGAGGCAACACAAGACACACGGCGCAAGGCCAAGGTCTCAGGGTGCCTTCTTACGCAGAGAGAC